AATACGTCAGTATTTGTACGTTTAGATGCTGAAAATACGTCAGTATTTGTACGTTTAGATGCTGAAAATACGTCAGTATTTGTACGTTTAGATGCTGAAAATACGTCAGTATTTGTACGTTTAGATGCTGAAAATACGTCAGTATTTGTACGTTTAGATGCTGAAAATACGTCAGTATTTGTACGTTTAGATGCTGAAAATACGTCAGTATTTGTACGTTTAGATGCTGAAAATACGTCAGTATTTGTACGTTTAGATGCTGAAAATACGTCAGTATTTGTACGTTTAGATGCTGAAAATACGTCAACAATTATGTAATGTGTTCTGTTGTTGTTAGTAGTAGTAGTAGTAGGCTATCAGATTCGCAATAACTTTTGATCAGGCATTAAAAACAGCGATCACCACCGAAGGGAGATTTCGAACACACAAGCGAAGAGATTTAGCTTGGAGCATGAAAACCACGCTCAACGAGTGAGTAAAGTCGTTTTTTTATCTGATGGCATTTTTTTATGATTAAAGGTTGTTTTAGTTAATTAAGTGCAGTGTTACAAAGTTATTAGTCCATGCCAGCTTTCTTATATTATAACTGGTGTTTGTAGGAACACTTTAGTAATCACAGGATGAATGGGCGATAAACAATCAGTAAAACAACGATTTCGATGCTAAACTATTGCATAATTTTAAATACGATTTGTAGTCAGTGGGTTCTAAAGTTACCATTGCGACCAGCTATAATCATAAGAAAATGCCCGTAAGTAAATGTACGTTTTATAGAACCACATTTTACGTAAAATACATACGAATTATCATGAGATCACGTTGGTTTATTCAGATCAATCTGTAATGATATCAAATAAGTGTTAAATGTCTAGATATTTCATTTAATAACAACAATTATGTAATTTGTTCTGTTGTTATTAGTAGTAGTAGGCTATCAGATTCGCAATAACCATACACAGCGGAGGGATTTCAGCATGGAGGATGAAAACCACACTCAACGAGTGTGTAAAGTCATTTTTTTATCTAATGGCATTTTCTTATGATTAAAGGTTGTTTTAGTTAATTGTGCTGTTTGCAGTGTTACAAAGTTGTTAGTCCATGCCAGCTTTCTTATATTATAACTGGTGTTTGTAGGAACACTTTAGTAATCACAGGATGAATGGGCGATAAACAATCAGTAAAACAACGATTTCGATGCTAAACTATTGCATAATTTTAAATACGATTTGTAGTCAGTGGGTTCTAAAGTTACCATTGCGACCAGCTATAATCATAAGAAAATGCCATCAGATAATAAAACGACTTTACTCACTCGTTGAGTGTGGTTTTCATCCTCCAAGCTAAATCTCTTCGCTTGTGTGTGTTAGAAATCTCCCTTCGGTGGTGATCGCTGTTTTTAATGCCTGATCAAAAGTTATTGCGAATCTAATACTACTACTACTAACAACAACAACAGAACACATTACATAATTGTTGTTATTAAATGAAATATCT